TTTTTTCCTTTTCTATTTCTGTGAAGAATGCCATTGGTATTTTGATAGGAATTGTAATCAATTGGTAGATTGGTTTGGTTCTGTGACCCATAGAATAGTGCTTCTCAGTGATGTGGAAGGAACAGGGCATCAGAGAAAGCAGATAACAAGTTGAACTTGGTCAAGTGGATCTGAGATGGATGGTGATCAGGTTATGTCATGGGACGGTAGAAATGTGAATTTCAGAGCTCATGAGATAAGAAAAAGGGTCATGGATTACATAAGGGATAGAGGAAGTCATGGGGTTAAGTAAGAAGGGACCCAAGGGTGCTCCCTGGAAAAGAAGAAAGAGCCAATGTCAGAAGAAGATGCAGGGGTGTCTGGAAAAGGGCTCCAAGAATGAAGGCAGGTCCTCTTCAGTGCTACTGAGAGCTGAAGAAACAAGATCAGAACTGGAACGCTTTAGAGACTGAAGTTTACTGGTGGCAACAAGAGCAAGGGATCAGAGTTTTCCAGATCCACAAGATATTGAAAGACGTCAATCACTTTCCCTGAGAAGGAGTTGTGATTGATGGTAAAGGAGAAAGAAGAGGGTGGTCCTAAGAGTGCAGGAAGTTAGGCATGGTGCACACTTGTAATCCCAGCAGCTGGGGAGGCTGAGGCAGGAAAAGCACAAGTTCAAGGCCAGCCTCAGTGACTTCACAAGGCTGTAAGCCAATTTATCGAGACCCTGTCTCAAATTTTAAAAAAGGGTTGGGGATAGTAGCTCAGTGGTAAAACACCCCTGGATTCAGAGATGGACAAAAGTTGCCGTCTAACAGTATAGACCCAGTAAACTCACCCTCATCCACAGCAGATACAGTCCAGGACCCCCAATAGACAGATGCCTGAAATCACAGACAGTACCCACCCTATATAAACTGTGTTTTGTTCTGTTTTGTTTTTGTGGTACCAGAGATGGAACTCTGACTGCTCTACCACAAAGCTACATCCCCAGCCCTTTGTGGGTTGTTTTTGTTGTTGTTGTTTTTGAGATATATCTCACTAAGTTACCAAGGCTGGCCTTGAACTTGTGATCCTCCTGCCTGTGCCTCCTGAGTCACTAGGCTTATGGGTATATACCACCACACCTGGCTCTGTTGTTTCTTATACATATATACCGATGATACAATTTGATTTATAAATTAGACATGGTAAGAAATAATTAACAAACACTAATGATGGAAAAGAACAATTATGATGACATACTATAGTAAAATTGCCTGCATCACTACTCTGGCACATTGGGGCCATTATTAAGTAAAATAAGGATTACTTGAACACAGTGTTGCAATACTACAATAAGTGATCTGATTACTGAGAGGGCTACTAAGTGACTAATGGGAAGGTGGAATATTTAGCATGGATCCACTGGACAAAAGGATGTTTATCCCACGTGTGACAGAGCAGATGGCATGAGATTTTATTATGCTACTCAGAAGGATGCTCAATTTAGAGCTGGGCGTCGTGGTGCACACCTATAATCCCAATGGTTTGGGAGGCTGAGGCAAGAGGATCCCAGGTTCAAAGCCAGGCTCAGCAACTTAGAGAGGCCCTAAGCAATTCAGCAAGACCCTGTCTAAATTAAAAAAAAAAAAAAAAATTAAGGGGGGGGGGGGGCTGAAGATGTGGCTCAGTAGTTAAGCACCCCTGGGTTCAACCCCTCCTACCAAAAAAAAAAAGAAGAAGAAGAATGATGCTCAATTTAAAATGTATGACTTGTTTATTTCTGGAATCCATTTACTCTTTTCTTACCAGACTTGATTGTAGGTAGCTGAAAATGCAGAAAGAAAAGCCATAGATAAGGGAGGAATACTGTTCTCTTTCCTGCTTTGTCCCAACCTTTCCACTGGTGGGACAGCAGGGAAGAGACTTGGGCAGAGAGCATTTCTGGGTTCTTTGAACGGATTCAGTCTTAATCTTGTCCTCGCTGTCAAAAGAAGCTTAAATGGAATACTCAGCAGGAAGTTCTGGATTGCAGAGGAGGGATCCTGGTTTCCCTCCTGTGCTCCAGGATTGAAACCCATTGAGGCCTGTGGCAGGTGACATTGTCCAGAACTGCTACAACCGCCCATCCCACTTGCTTTTGTACCATACAACAAGGTACCCCCCACAGAGAGGTGGAATCTGTGTCCCTCCACCCTAAACCTGGGACCATCTCAGCTGGTAGAGTCTGCTATAAATGTTGGGTGACTGCAGTCTCATGGTTCGACCTCTCAGACAAGACCATGAAATTTTTACAGGTCTCTCTCTTTCAGGGCATGTGCCTTTGAAACCCCGAGACACCATGTTAACAAGACTGGTTATCCTAAAGCCACCATACAGAGAGGCCCCCAGCCCTAGCCTCAGCAGAGCTCCCAGCTAACACTTCCTGGCCACATACTCTGCCTCATTTTCTGGAGGCTCCCCAAGGTCCTGCCCTCTCAACCCTGTTCTGTATCCACAGGAAAGCAGGCTTTATGCCCCCATGCCCACCCACTCGGGGCCCAGAGGAAGTGATAAACAAGCAGCACCCCCACCCAGCAGAGTCTCCACTGTCAGAAGGCCCTAATGGTGGCTGGCACAGGTCACCCACCCAGCAACCATCTCCTCACCCACCCACTCCAGGAAACGTGGAAAATCCAGAGACCATCCTAGGCCAGCTGTACTCCAGGAAGAAACTGGGCAAGCTGCCCAGAATGACACAAAGTGGACTTTGGGCTGATTGCCCAAGTTGAACTAATGCCCTCACCTTCTTCTAAAGGGTACTCTCTGCAGAACCAAGGCCACAGCCTGTCATGAAAGCAGATGTTGACAGAGCAGGACAGATGGGGTACGAGGGTCCCTTGGGACATGCGAAGCACATCTCTGATACTCACCACCCCATCAGTACTGATCAGAGTAAGTGGGGGAGGAGAAAAAGACCCCAACATGTCGAGTAGTAATGCCACCATCATGAATTGGGAGCAGCCCAGCTGCTTCTCAGGGTGGAGCGCTAAGACACCTGGATTCATCCCTGCTCTCAGGCGGTGGGGATGAGAACACTTGGGAAGCTCAATGAGGCGGGACTTCCTTAAAGCAAAACAGGAGTAAAAATCAGGAAAAAAAAATATTTCATATCCAGTATTTGTGTTAGGCTATATGCTACCTAGACTCCCCACCCCACAAGGCATTTAAGGTAGGATTTGATTTACTATTTTTTATTCTCAGTTACTCAGTCTTTCAATAAATACTTATGGAGCACCTTATGCGCTAAACACCACAAGCAAAAAACATATTTTCACAAATACATGTGTGAATATAAGCAAAGGATATCTCTAAAACAGTGGTTCTCCATCAAGCCTCCCTCTTCCCAGGAGACATCTGTCAATGTTTGGAGACATTTCCAGGTGTCATAACTGGGAGGTGCTACTAGTATCTAGTGGAGAGAGGCCAGGGATGCTGCCTTGCACAGGACACCCCGTGACAAAGCATTGCCTGGTCTAAAGAATCATTCATGCTGAGATTGTAAAACTCCGTCCAGAAGGATACTCAAGAAACAGGTCAAGCTGGGAATGCAGCTCAGTGGTAGAGCACTTGTCTAGCATGTGCAAGTCCCTAGGTTAAATCCCAGCCACCCCCTCCACACACACACACACACACACACACACACACACACACACGATATAGATTAACAGTGGTTCCCCATATAGTGGGGTGCCAGAGACCATGATGCACAGGTATTCGAGATCATGACTTCCCCTGTGTATACTTCTGAACCATTTTGTACTGAATTTTTACCAAGTGCATGTATTAATTATTTTATAAAAAAGAAGAACTATTACTTGATTGGGCCATAATTATTGAGTGCCCTTCTCTTGATTGTTAGAGAAAGAAATTTAAAGGAGAGAAGAAACAGAATCTGTCACTGCGTCTGGTGCCTGCAGTCTGTGAACCCGTCTAGCCTTCCTCCAGACCCCACTTTCTCAAACTCAGTCTCACCCCTGTCATGGACCAGGGCCTTCTTGCTCCTGAGGACTGTCTTAGGCATGGTAGGGTATTGAGCAGCATCCCAGAATGTTCTTGGAGATTCCCCTTATCCTTTATCCACTCCTGGGTCCCTTCAGCCCCCAGGAGCCTTCTGGTATGGCTTTGACTAGCATTCTGTGTTTTCTGTACTCATCCTGCCTTTCTGGATAAGTTGTATTCTGCTTTCCAGGACAGAAGCAGCTTCAGTGAGAACTGGATTGCTGTGAACACACAGAAGCATTTTCTAGGCGCTAAAGGACACTCACTATATAGCAGCTGGACACAACAGGCCCAGGAAGCGCTCATCAGCACGGTGGCTGTGGTCCCTTCCATAGCCACAGGTAGCAGAGTCAAGTTATTAAACTCTCCACAAGTGAGAGTAGCAGAAAAAAAAAAAAATGGCATAAGAATCAAAACCTGCCCACTTCAAGTCCTTGAGGTAATTTTGACTCAGGGCAAAGTGGCAAAGTCAATAAAGTCAGCCAAGGAAGTTAGTATCTGTAAGAATCTGGATTTTGAAGCCAGGTTGCCTGGATTGATAGCCTTATTCTGCTACTTCCTGCCTGTGTGATCTCAAACAAATTACTGAACCTCTCTGAGCCTGAGGAGCTACAATGATGAATTAGAGATAATAACAGAGACCTCTTCCTAGTATCATTAAATCAGCAGAGATAGTGCATACGGAGTTCTTAACACAAAGACCGAAACATTGTAACTATGTGTTACATGATTTCTGTTGTTTTTATTTTATTGTAAATCAATAAATAAAATACTAACTACCTTACCGTGGTGCATGAACCTATAAGTGGAGTCCCATAGAAATTTGTACAAATTCCAGTTTGAAGGCAAAAGGACTGGAAAATTGAATGAGAAGTTTCTGGTCACTTACATAATATCCACACAACACACACACACACACACACACACACACACACCCATATTGTAAAATAAAAGGTTCTTTTAAAAACAAATTTTAATGGTGTTTTAGCGCATGTGAACAGCTAAGGCACGATTGTTCTGTTCTTGGTTTCGGCTGTTTTCCAACTATGGTGTTTTTCTCATTGATCAGACAGAAATCCCCAAGGTCTGGCAAAGGAAGCTTTTAATTGCTCTGGATGGACCAATTTTTGGCTTAGCTGCTCAAGCACATAATTGGGAGAGAAAGAGAGAGAGAGAGAGAAACTAAATCATTTTGAGATTGCTTTAAGACAAATATACAGTCAGACATCCCTTTACCTGACCAAACCTCAAAATTTTCCCACAAGCCCTGGGGACAGAGAGAGTAGGTAGTACACCACCAGAGATCAGAGAGTGAAGATCATTTTGCTGATCTTTATCAAAATGAAAATAAGAGTGATCATAATTATCATTCTCCTGTTATAGGTGGGGCTTCCCCAGAAGCAGACTGAGACCAGGATTCTGGTCAATCCACTTTATTTAGAGGGGATCCTGGAATCACTAGGAGGGGAGACAGAGAATGGAGGACAGCCGGGAAAGGTGTGGGATTGAGTAAACTATGGCTGAGGCCACTGGAGCTCCATCCCCCCAGGGGACCTTGGGAGCCAGTGCAAAATAGACACCTCAGCAGCATCCCATCCAGCCACAAGGGAACTGGGGAATTTGTACCCCAAGTCCCATCTGATATTGGCTAAGAGCAGTCTGTTCCCGGGGTGTATCACGGCCCCGGCACTTCCAGCCATCCCCAGTGCAGGCAGCCAGAGGAAACCCTGGGGCAAAGTCACTGAAGCTTGCAGCTGGGAATCAGGCATTCTGGAAAAACACCAACAGCATCTGCTTCAACATCCAAATATAAGACAACCCCAAAATAGGAAGATTCCCTGCTTCCCCACTTAAAAGATCCAAAGGATTTGTGACCTAATGGAATACATAATCTTTTCTAAAGCAGATGAAATAGTTAAAAAATAAAATCTCCTTATAGCCTTTATGACCTGCCCTATATGCTTATAATCACGTTATGTGCGATGATAACATTAATTTAGAAAAAGTCGCTTTCTTTGCACTCAATCGATGTTATTCCAACTCTTCCAGCTCATCTTTTCTCATCATTGAAGGCACCTTTTGAGTCATTTTTGTTTCCCCCAGCACATTTTCTTCCCTCCCTTCCCCATTCTTGGTGATACAGCATTTTTGGAATCTGTAGGACGCTTTTGCTGGAATTTTTATCCCAAGCCTCAAGCACCTATTTGCATAACATTAGGGCAGCTGGCTGTCCCATTCAGCACCAGAGGTGCCAAAGCTTGATCTCCATAATGTAACCACCCAGGGTAAGGCTTTCTTAAGTGTCCTTAAAAGACTTGTTCACACTCCAGTGCAGCCTCGTGGAGCCGCCACACCCTTCAGAATCCATTCCAAATCTGGTTCAATTTCCTAGCCTCCTATCTCAGCCTGTTTGTGCTATTGTAACAAAATGCTCCAGGCTGGAAAGAGCAGAAACTAATTCCCTTACAGTTCAGGAGGCTGGAAGTCCAAGATCAAGGTGCTGGAGAGGGCCTTCTCTCTGTGCTTTCAAGATGGTGCCTGACTGCTGTGTCTCCAGAAGGGAAAAATGCTGTGTCCTCACTTGGAATATGGGCTCTTAGCGTGTGTGTGTGTGTGTGTGTGTGTGTGTTTCCTGGGGATTGAAGGGAGGGGTGTGCTACCACTGGGCTAGATCCCCAGCCTTTTATTTATTTATTTTTTATTTTGAGATAGGGTTTTGCTGAGGCTGACCTCAAACTTGCAATCCTCCTGCCTCAGCCTCCCAAGTCACTGGGATTACAGGCATGCGCCACTGTGCCCACCCTTCCAGCTCTTTCATATAAGCACTAATCCATTCATGAAGGTGGGGGAGGCCCCACCTGTTACTACCAACACAGTGGTGGTAAGTTTCAATAGAAACTTTAGAGGGGACACCTTCAAACTCTAATACCTCCTTTTGAGCAGTTTCTTCAGATGACCTTGGTTAATGGCCAGAATCACCTCTGATGGAGATTGTTTCAGGTAACACATCCCTCCCATACCTCACTAGGTTGTTCAAAATAAAATACTTGAGAGCCCCCCACAACATGAAAGAGTGCATGAGGTTTCTATTGAAAACAGAGGCTCTTTCCCCAGGGAACTTCTGAGAAGCCTGGAACGTCACCGTATATCCCTGCCGACTAGTTCTTCTGGCAGTCATCTTAATCCTCACAACCAACCCAGGAAGTGGATTAGAGCATCATTCCCATTTTACAGATGGAGAAATGGAGGCTTTGAAGCAGCTCAAAGAGCAGTGGAATGACAGTGGTGGGTGTGTCTTTGAGGTGTGCATACCCCCTCCACCATGCTGCTGTCCCTTGTGGGAAAGGGCTGTGCTCATGGACTTGGATGGTAGACTCCTAGGGCAGCAAAGTGCCAGCCAGCCCAGCAGCCTCCACAGGGTCCTCTCTCTACTCCTCTCACTTTGCTGAGCTAGAGAAGCAAGAGGCAATCACCATTACTCCAGCTGAAAACCTCTACAAGGAAATGAAAGTCCCCCCTCAAGGGAACTTCTAAAAACTGTAACTAAGTCCATTTCAAATGGGCAAATAAATGTCTACAAAGGATTTTTTAAATAAAACAGAAAAATCTCAATGCCACCTTTCTTTCTTTCTTTCTTTCTATTTTTTAAATTTTGCTAATGAGTCAACCACACTTGCGGTATTTGCTGATAGTAGAACTGATGAGCTGGAGAGGGTCATAAGGGAGAGACAGGATTCATCCTTGTACCTTCAGAAGACTGTGCCCTTTTGAGCTGGAAGGGTCTGAGTTCTCACCTTCTAGCTCTTTCAGCCTCAGTACCACCATCTGTAAAATGGGCACTAATCCTTACCTCACTGAGTGCTGATGAAGATTAAGTAGAGTGCAACATGGACACTAGTCAGAGCTCAGCAGTTTTATCACCTTCTTCCTACCATCTCTCCCTTTCCTCTTCCAGTTCCAGTCAGGTGCAGTGGAGCAGACTGTGTCCCTCTGGAGTTGAGAGAAGGTGCATGAATGGAAAAGAGAAAACCACCATAATGTTTAGCCGGGACACCTGACTTCCTGCCTGTGCTTTTCTAAGGCACCTCCTCCAACCCCAAGGGCCTACTCCAGTGGGGAGTGGGGGGGACCATATGGCCTGTCTACCAGAAACCCTTCCATTCACCCTTGTTGGGGAACACCCAGTCCAGGCCTGCATGGGACCCTTGCTCCCCTGAAAGTGGAGAGGGGGAATGGAACCCTGGCAGTTGCACCTGGACCCCTGGGTCCCAGGTACAAGTCCCTACCTTCCAGCAATCAGGATATGGAGTGAGAAAAAGAGGAGGAGTAGGAGAGGGAGAGTGGAGGTCAATAGTCCAAGCAAAGGGACAACCAGAGCCAGCTTTCCTCCAAAGGGCCTGTTGGAAGGAACACATTGGAGCCACAGGCTGTTGAATTCCCCCAAACCAGCAGGGGCATAGCAGGGGATGTAGGTGAGTCTCCAGAGCCTGCCGGAAGACTGCCCTTGGCTCTGTGCTCACATCTCTCTGCAGCTATGATTCCCAGAAAGTTCTCAAGGGCAGGGTTTCAGTTTTGCAAACTGATCCTCAGAACACTGTACATCCCAGTTCCCACATCAGTAAAACACACCTGGCAAGAGAAGCCAGCTGCCTAGGCCACTGGGAAATGGCTCTAAGGCCAAAGGCTCTTCAAGATGCTATTTAAAATTAGTCCATGACTGTTCCCTCCAGATGGCGACAATAACAGGATTTGGGGTTCATGGGCATGCCCCGTTTCATGAATATCTCTTGGACAATCCCCAAATCATACCATGAGACTATCATAATCCTGTGACCATCTTACTGACCACACAGAACCCTCCAGCTCCTCTACCTGACATCTTCAAGAGAATTGCTCCAAGTGACTTCTGTTGCCACATGCAGCTTGGTCATTCTCTAATGCCATATTCTCCCTTGGTCTCCTGTACAATATTTCTACAAGGTCTAGTAAACTGAGTCCCTTGTGGATCCCCTTATTATTTAAACAAGGAATGTATGGCATAGCACTTAAAGAACTCACAATTAGTTGTTAAGAAAGACTGGAGGGCTGGGGATGTAGCTCAGTGGTAAGGTGCCTCTCTGGCACATATGCAAGGACCTCGGTTTGATTCTCCAGTACCACCAAAACAAAACTGGTAGATGGTTTTCACATTCTGGAAGCTCCTTTTCTATTTTGGAGGTGTGCCCACTCTGGATCTCCGTGGGATTTAGGTTCCAGGAAGCCAAGGGCAAGGGCATACATAGGCCTTGCCCCAGGCCATTAGATAATCTTGTCCAGGATTTCAAATCTTGAACAAATTTTGAAAAAAACTCAAGAACTATTTGGTGTTCAGTTTGTGGCAGCAGCAACTAATGACTGAGAGAGTGGCCAGAGGCCATCAGCTGTGATGTCCAACAATGACAGTGCCCAGAAGTGGTTTCCACGCCAGCCCATTCTTGTGGCATGTCTTTGCTTGTAGTCCTGCCACCAAACCACAATGGCTCTCATCCACTTCCCAAGCCCACAACTTTGGACTTTTTATGGATTCTGCAAGCCATTCAATAATCTTCCAATAGATTCTTCTTCTTCTTCTTCTTTTTTTACCTTAAAAGCTTGACATTAGCTACAGTTGATTTCTGTTGCTTGCACCCCAAAACACCAACTGAAACAGTGTACCAAATCAGTGACTTTAATTCAATTTTTTACATTAAATAACATTAGGAAGTTGGAGGAAAATTGTAAAGTTATAAAGCTCGTAAGAAAATATAAAGATTTTATTTACGTCATTAACTAATGACGATTAGTTATTAACTAATCGTCATTAGTTAATGTATTATTAACTAATATATTAATATTAGTTGTAAGTTTGGAGGCGGCAAGAAACCTGTCATGTTCCTTTGGCAGAGGGGATCCATCTGCCCAGAAAATCGGGTTTGTGAAGGAAACTGGTGGGTGGCAGTTTGGAAATGTAAATTGGGATATCCTTGTGGCTTAATATTGTAACTCTCAGCTTATTGAGAGTCCCAGAGAAAGAGAAATTAAAAGGATAAAATAAAAATAATTGGGGCTGGGTTATGTGGCTCAAGCGGTAGCTCGCTCGCCTGGCATGCGTTCGGCCCGGGTTCGATCCTCAGCACCACATACAAAGATGTTGTGTCCACCGAAAACTAAAATAAATAAATAAATATTTTTTAAAAAATTCTCTCTCTCTCTCTTAAAAAAAATAAAAATAATATAGAAATCATGGTCTGAAGGTGACGTTGGGAGATGCTTGTCCTTCAATCTGTTTCTAGTGGACAATTTGATGTACCTTTCCTATTACCCTCCTCCTTGCTGAGCACGCAGGAGCAGACAGGTGGACCTGGATGGAGTAGAATTTGACCCAGAGAGATCCAACTTCAGTCAGGTGTTATGACCCTGGAGTGGTGAAAACATACCATATTATACATTTTGGGGAGCAGAAGCGCAGAGCCTCAAGGATACAGAAGAGAGGAACAGGGACTTGGAAACAGCCCGGCACATATTAAGTGCTCATAAATATTAGATATAATCTTCCCAGCCCCCTTCATATGGTAAATACCCTTGTTATTCCCATCTTAAAGATAGAAAAATTGAAGCTTAAAGATGTTAAACACTGGGCTGGGGTTGTGGCTCAGCGGTAGAGTGCTTGCCTAGCACATGTGAGGCCCTGGATTCAATCCTCAGCACCACATAAAAATAAATAAAGGTTTTGTGTCCAACTGCAACTAGAAAAAAATAAATATTTTAAAAAAAAGATGTTAAACACTGCCAGGCACCGTGAAGCATGCCTATAATCCCAGCAATTTGGGAGACTAAGGCAGGAGGATCACAAATTCAAGGACAGCCTTAGCAACTTTAGTGAGGCACTGAGCAACTTAGTGAGACCCTGTCTCAAAATAAAAAAATAAAAAGGGCTGGGGATGTAACTCAGTGGTAAAGCATCCTTGGGGTCAATCCCTGGTACCAAAAAAAAAAAGAGGTTAAAAACCCTCTCCTGAGCTAGTAAGTATTGGAGCTGAAATTCACACCCACTGCTGATTCCAGAACCTGTTTGCAGAGCTGTGGTGTTATGCAGCTAGGATGTTCATTATGCATGTACCAGGTACACAATGCCAGGTGCAAGGTACTGTCATCAGCACACCTAGTCCTGGCCCTTCTGGAATTGCCACCCCATCCCCCTATGTCCTCGCAGGAGGTTGAGCCACAGCGACCCCTTCAGAGCAGCCCTTCCTGCTTCAAAGCATCTGTACCACCCACCCCCCCCCCCCCCCCCCTGGAAGAGCTGATGCAGTTTGTAACCTGCTGCCCCAGGGGGACTCAGCCTGGGGCAGGACCCTTCAGGTGCCAGGGAAGGAAAGGGAAACCCCGGGGGAAGGACACCCTCTGCTGGGTGACTGGCATCTCCATGAGCACATCCTGTATCATTCACCAATGCTGCTAAGATTTAAATCCAGCTTTTAATAAAATACACCCTCTTAGGCTGGCAAGTCAGGGCTGGAGTAAAACCAGAAGGAGAACTGCCATCCAGCTGCAGGGCCCTGGCCCGTTCCTCCAGCTGGCTGGCAGCAAGCTCCTGGCGAGCCGTGGAGCTTGCTGGAGGATGCCACGTAGCATAGGCAGCCTTCCGGCTCTAGCCCGTCCCACTCCTCCGTCTGCTTCTCATTAGCTTCAAAAGTGAGGCCTGGCTCTGCGCCCAGGTCAGGAGGAAAGGTTGACGTGGCGCCCACCGAGCCCCATTTCCTGGCCTAGGTCTTCTCCTCCCCAGCCCCACCATCATGAGCCCAGCTCACCGCTTCTGGTCTCCTCTCTCTGCCTTCTCCACCTCCCCAGAACCCCCTCCAGTCCCCAGCCTCTCTGCAACCACTTCCTCCCTGCACACCCACAGGCTCACTCGCACACACCCACACCCACACACCCTCACTGCCCTGTCCCAGCTCTATTCTCTTTGTCCCTTTAAAGCTCTCAACCCTCCAGCAGTATAGCCCAGAGGGAGCAGAAGGGTCTGGGTTCAAATCCCATGTGTGCTGCATAGTAACTATGTGAATTGAGGCAAGTTACTTAATTTCTAATGCTCAGTTTCCCCACCTGTGAAATGGAAAAGATATGAACAATACCCACCTCATCAAGTTATTCACAAGGAAAGGGCCTGACGTAAAATCAAGGCTGGTCCACATCAGGTACAAACAGATAGACTAAGTGTGCAGTCTTACTCTTCCCCAAAATTAGTTGGCCAAGGAGGACCCTGTTTTCAGGGACAGGAGGTAAGGTTTTGTTTTAGAATGGGGACAGAAGAGTAGGAGGCTGGAGGAGCCTGTCTGTCTATTCTAGATTCCTCAAAGGCAGTCAAATTCTACAGCTGGTGTTTTTTTCATTAGGCATTTATTGAGCACCAATCGTGTGCAGGTACCCTGTGGGGAAACCCCAGCTTCCTGCAGAGCAAGGAGCTCAGATTCCAGTGGCAAAAAAAGAATCATAAAAAGAAATGGTTATCGGGCAACACGCTGAAGGCAGTAAGGGAAGAGATTGGAAAGTGCTCTGGGAACAGGAGCAGGAACAGCTCTGAGATGATGGGGGCAGTTAGGAAAACTTCCAGGTTGCAAGGGAGGTGCCTGCATTAACAGAAGGCACCCCCTTCCTCAGCTCAGGGGCACGTGGTGGTTCCATTTGCTCTGCAAGTGAAGCAGGCAGAATTCTTTAGCCCTGTTTAGCAGATGAAGAAGTCAAGGAACTGAGAATGAGTGGCGGGTGCTTCCCCAAGGAGCCAACTTCTAGTGAGGGATGTTCTCCCCACCCCAAACCATCAGGTCTTTCTGCTTCCAAACTGGGCAGGAGTTTGCATGGAAGACAAAGAAGAAAGAGGAGGAACAAGGCCAGGCAGATAGGCCAGGTGGCTTGCCGCGAGCCTGGGGCAGCAGTCTGGACTTTGTCCTGCGTGGGCGAGGGGAGTCGGCACACAAGCATCCACACCCCCACATTGCTCCACCAGCCACAAGGCCAGATTTTGTCCTCAGAATCCCCAGCACTGCCCTGAAACAGAACTCTTTACTGATTTAACACGCAGTAATTTATAAAGGAGCCGGCAAAGGGAGAGAAGGGACAATTCCTGCCAGATCACTCCCTCGCCTGCTGGCCCAGTACTGGGTCAGTGGGAGGCCACAGGAAACACTTGGTTTATTGGGCAGCACTGAGTGAACTAGGCCCTCAGCTGGGACTGTCAGGAATACCAGTCCTCTCAAACCTTAAAAATCAACCCTTGACGGCAATCAGCTTGGACACATCTGTGTCGGGCAGCAGCTGGGATGGGAGGAGAACACACACCAGCTCTGTCCAGGCTGAGCAGACAACTCAGGGGCTTGCAGAGGATGTGGCTCAAGTGCTGCAGGAGCCGAACCTAGGAAAGGCAACCTGGCTCCTGGTTCACTTGGGGACTCGTGGGCTGGACCCTCCTCCTCAACAGGAGTCAGGTCAGATGGAGGTAGGAGACTCAGACTCACAAAACTTTAAAAAAAAAAAGAATGCCCAGTTTTCATTTGAATTACAGCTCAACCAGAAATAATTCTTACTACAAGGTAGAGGTCCACCTTTGGTTTCAATTTCTAAGGTTTTAGTTACCCTCTATCAACCATAGTCGGAAAATATTACATGGAAAACTCCAGAAAGAAACAATTCCTAACCGTGTGCCATTCTGAGTATTGTGATGGAATCTCACACTGTCCGGCTGCCTCCCACCTGGAACATGAATCACCCCTTTACCAGCTTGTCCTCACTGTGTCTCGCCTGTGTGCGTTCTGGTCCACCCTCTGGTCACTTGGTAGCCATGTTAGATATCAGATCAACTGTCCACTATCACCAGGCTTGGGTTCACTGGACCCTTACAAGGCCTCACTTCAATCTCATCACATAGGCATTGTGCATTGTCACATCATCACAAGAAGAAGAGTGATATATACAGCACAATTAAATATTTTGGGGGACTGGGGTATAGCTCAGTGGTAGAGCAATTGCCTAGCATGTGCAAGGCCCTGGGTTCAGTTACACACACACACACACACACACACACACACACACACACTCACACAATGTATATTTTGAGAAAGAAACCACATTTACATAACTATTTGGGGGAAGGGATACCAGGGATTGAACTCAGGGTTGCTTGACCACTGAGCCACATCCCCAGCCTTTTATTTATTTATTTATTTTTTATTTTTTATTTATTTTTTTGAGACAGGGTCTTGCTAAGTTGCTTAGGGCCTTGATAAGTTGCTGAGGCTGGCTTTGAACTTGAAATCCTCCTGTCTCAGCCTCCCAAGTCATTGGAATTATAAGCGTGTGTCACTGTGTCCAGCATATAACTTTTATTATAGTATATGACTATGATTGTTCTCTTCTGTTCATCTCTTACTGTGCCTGATTTAAACTTTATCACATGTATGTATAAATGGGATTTGGTTCCACTATCCATGGCTTCCAGCATCCTCTAGGGGTCTTGAAACATATCCCTCATGAATTAGGGAAATGCCCATCTGTCCCATGTGCTAGGGTGGTAGCAATGGGGATCACAAGAAAGGGACAGATTTAACTTGGAAGGAATTGAATTTGGGATCTTGAGATATCTGCGTGCTCATGCTCTCTGCAGTAGTATTCACAGCAGCCAAGATATGGAAATCACCTAGATGTCCATCAATGGGTAAATGGATAAAGAAATTGCGGCATATGCATACAGTGGAACATTATTCTGCATTTAAAAAGATAGAAATCCTTCCATATGCAACTGGGCAGATGAGGCTGAAGGGCATTACAATAAGTAAAATAAGCAAAACTCAGAAAGACCCATACACAAACTCTCTCTTACACATGGACTCTAAAATAGTTGAACCCAAGGAAGCAGAAAGTAGAATGGAGAGTGCTGGGGACTAAGGTAGGAGGAATGAGGTGATGCTGTTCAAAGGGTGCAAGGTTTCAGTTCTGCAGGATGAGTAAATTCTAGAGATCTAATACACAAATAGGGCCTATGGATGAGCAATACTATTTTGTTCACTTCAAAAAAAAAAAATTGCTAAGATCAAATGCTCCGTGCTCTTACCAGGAAAGGAATAGAAAGAAGGAAAGGGGAGGAAAAAACACAAAAGAGGCAAGAGGAAAATTTGAAAGCAGTGAATAAAATTATGGTGCTGATGGGCTGGGGATGTGGCTCAAGTGGTAGCGCGCTCGCCTGGCATGCGTGCGGCCCGGGTTCGATCCTCAGCACCACATACAAACAAAGATGTTGTGTCCGCCAAATACTAAAAAATAAATATTAAAAAAAATTCTCTCTCTCTCACTCTCTCTTTTAAAAAAAAAAAATTATGGTGCTGATTGTTGGTGTTGTGGTTTGGATATGAGATGTCTGAACCCTGGAAGCTCCTATGTTAATGCAGGAATGTTCCGAGGTGAAATGATTGGATTGTGACAGCTATGATCTCACACACTCTATCCTAGTTTGAAAGAATGAATTGCATAATAACCGTAGGCAGGTGGGGGTGGCTGGAGGAGGTGGTCACTGGGGGTGTGCCTGGGAAGGGTGCATCTTCCCTGTGGCCCCTTCTCCCTTTCTCTTTTTCTCTTCATGGCTGCTATAACCTGAGCAGTACTCTTCCACCATGATGGGCTACCCACCTTGAGCCCAGAACAGTACTGTCAGCAATACAGTCAATAGTTCTCTGTGGACGGAGAACTCTGAAACAGTGAGCCTAAATAAACTTTTTCTCCTCTAAGTTGTTCCTGTCAGGTATTTTGGTCACAGCGATGAAAAGCTGACTAATGCAGTTGGTTTCACAGTTGCATACTTATCTCCAAACACATCAAGCCCTATATATTAAATATCTGCAGATTTTTTTTCATGTCAATCATACCTCAATGAGGTTTTTTTTTTTTTAATTCAAGTTGGAGATGGTCTCTATAGGGACTGACGATGAATTGGATGTAGGAGACAAGGATAGGAGAGAAATTAAGGAGGACTCAGGCTTCCAGCCAGAGCTACTATGTCATTAATAGGACCACTTCACTCAGAAAAGGAAGGCGGAATGAGATCAGATTAGAAAGACAAACCAACAGCTCCGTTTTTAAACTTGGGGTGCTAATTTAACATCGGTCTGGAAGTGCAGTCCCAGTTAGTTGAAGGCTGAGGCAGGAAGATGGCTGGAGCCTAGGAGTTAAGGTCAGCTTGGGCAACAGAACAAATTGAGCCTGAAATGGAGGTCACAGTGTGGTGAGGTGCCATCAAGTGCAGGACACACTGAGCTGTCTCCTCAAAGTGGAGAATAGCATTGTCCCTCCTCACGGAGGACACCCAGTGCCAGAAGCCAACAAATAAGACTAGCATGAAGGAAAAAAATTATGTGTGTGCCTGCTGGGAACTGATTGAAAGAAATGTGTTCCTGGTGCCAGTGGGGAAGGTGGGCAGAAGGTCGGCCTGGCCTCCAGAGATTCCCTGGGATAGCAACACATACTGAAGAGACTGAAAATGCAGTCCGCTTTGGGAGTAACCACTTAAACCTCAGGAGTTGAAACACGCCCCTGATTTGCCCACTGTTTGGAGATTTTTAAAAATGTGCCAGTCCACCAGGCACAGTGGCGCACTCCTGTAATCCCAGGGTTCGGGAGGCTGAGACAGGAGGATCATGAGTTCAAAGCCAGCCTCAGCAAAAGCAAGGTCCTAAGCAACTCAGTGAGACTCTGTCTCTCAATAAAATACAAAATAGGGCTGGGGTGTGGCTCAGTGGTTGAGTGCCCTTAAATTCAATCCCCATACCCACCCACCCCAAAATAATAATAATAATAATAATAATAATGTACCAGCTCATCTGTCTGTTCAACAAGGAACTGAGAAACTCAGAACTGCCCACGCACGTACACACACGCGGATGTATTGTGAGAGATGTTCACCATGGTATTGTTTACCATATTTCACTGCATAATTGTTGCACCCTGATTTTTTGTTCTTGTTGTTGTTTTTTTCAGTCCAAAAATTGGTTAATGAACTTTCATTGCATGATCATTGCAAGGTATTATTCTGTTCATCATGCTGCTTAAAAGGTAAACAGCGCAGCAATGCACTCACCAGTGGCACACGGAAGCACATTTGTCTTCTCCCGCACTGTGAGCCAGGAACGCAGAATTCTCCCCGCATGCGCATTGTCAGTGTATTCCCGACAGCTGCAGTGTGTGGTTTGTTCAGAACAGCACATCAGATAACAAATGAAAATGGAGCAGAGTCTTCGGACACAGAAGATTAAATTTTGTAAGTCCATTCTTCACAACACTGTAATAAATTTTCTCAAGTGTAATATTTCAACTATAATGCACAAATCAATAACAACTAATGCACTAGCTTTTTTTTCCAGACAGGAAAAATGTTCACTAAACTGTCACAAAGAAATGATGTGTAGTGATTTGGACTATTCAATCTTAACGTATATTCACAAGTATTTCATGCATCCTAAATTGCACTAAAGACAGTTTAGTAATAAATGATTTTTAACCAATATTGGAAACTTTTAAAAAAAATGTTCACAAAATGCAAAAAAAAAAAAAAAAAAAAAAAAGGCTTCACATAATGGTTGCATCTCACTTTTTTTCAAACAAACAAAAAAAAATGGCTTAAAATCTGTGACAATGGTGCACTAAAACACAGTACGAAGAGTAAAAGTTTAGCTGGGCATGGTAATCCTGGAGTCTAATCTGGAGCCTGAGGTAAGAGAACACTTGAGACCAGGAGTTCAAGACCAGCTGGGCAACTCAGAAAGATCCCATCTCCAAATAAATAAATAAGAATAAAAATTAGGCAACAACCAAAATTTGCATCTACAGGGGACTAGTTAAGTCTTTTATGATGACTTATAAACAAAATGGAATTCCATGTAGCTGTCTAAAATTCATAAGGTAAATCTATCTGTTCTGAATTTTTTTTAAAAAAAATTTGTAGTTGTAGATGAACAGCATGCCTGTATATTAGTTGTTTATTTTTAATGTGGTGCTGAGGATCATACCCAGTGCCTCACACATGCCAGGCAAGTGCTCTGCCACTGAGCTACAGCCCAGCCCTGTTCTGGATTTTAAACTGCCCAAAAGTAAATATAAAGCATGTGTACACACACACATACACCCATAACAATATGTACACACACATATACATATATGTAGATACGTATATAATATATATAGTGATACATTTACACAAAATTACATGTAGGTAAATGGATACACACACACACACACACACACACACAGAGAACACCATAAAAGTGTTCACCAATATGCTAATAATGGTGGTCTCTCCATAACAGAAGTTGATTTCTTTTTTTTTTTTACTTTCTGCTTGGTATTTTTCTATATCATTTAAATTTTTTCACAGTAACTATGTATAATTTTAATGAGCTTATCTTTAAAAAGTAATTTTGTGGGTTTCAAAGTGAATTGATGTTTTTGAGATGGTGAGGGGACAGTCACTTATCCCCGCATGCTTAAGAGGCCTGCTCCAGACAGAGCCTGAGGGGAGGAAGGGAAGAGACCTCACAGATGGAAGGGTAAGCCAAGGGCTCTCGTGGGCTGTGACTCACGACAGAACCAGCAAATGTTTGTGGGGTTCAATGCAAAATAAAAATGGGGGGAATGCTTGTTCAAAAAAGTATTATGAATTTCAAGATGATAACAGAAGATCATAAAGCCAAATGTAGGACCCTTCTGAGCACACGACCTGTGTGACTCCACAGGTCCTGAGACTATCAGGCTGGTGCATGGTGAGACCAGCTGAGCAAATTATGAAGCTTTTGCCATCAGAGAAATAGCTGGGAACAAAGCCGGGAAAAGTTGAGCAAGAGTTAATCTGGGCCTTGAGAGGCCAGGTCCTGAGTGAAAAATGGAACCATAGACCCCATCAGCTGACCAGGAATCTCACCAGAGCAAACATGCTCAACATTTGTGATTGCACATGTGAAACAATGGCTCCTGAGATGTTTAAGGCCCAGAAGATGACTCCAAGCGACCCGGGTTCTGGGTAGCTTAATTAGCAAGAGGCCTTCAGCTCAGGCCAAGCTGGTGAGTCTGGAAGTGGAATCTGCCCGCTGTATGGAATCCCCTCACTGGCTCAAAGGAAACTTCTCTCAGGACCTCCCACCCGCCAGCCTGCACCTTCCCCTCACATCTCCTTTGTAGCCATCACTCCAACATGTCACCCCTGAGCTGCTCCACAGGAACCTGCCTCTGTGCCTCCTGCCATCCCACCCGCCCACGCGCCTCCTGCCTCCTGGGCACCACAAAGAGCGCCTGTGTTGGAGCCCGACAGTCGCTGAGTGTGCAGACAGCCTACACCTCCCGTAGGCCACACGGCACAAAGGCTGGTCTGTGTGGCCTGGCCTGGTAGGCCCACAGCCTCCCTTCCTCTGCCAGGCACTAGGATCGAGTCATCAGAGTCTCCCAGGAGGCTGCCAGACTGGCTGAGCAGCCAAGGAGACAAGAGATGCCCGGCTAACAGCCCACAGTGTCCCTGCAGGACTCCAGGGTGTCCAGCCAGCCATGGCCATTCTGGGCTCACACGCAGTATGCGGGCATCCTTCAGACTCTCAGAAGGCCCCTCACCCCTCTAATTGCAGTTAGGCAGCTGAAGACCTTCATTCTGCTCTTCCCTAATCAGGGTCCCTGCCACCAGCCTTCCCACATCCTGAAACCCACCTTGAATGAGACACCGTGATGGGTACCAAGAGCTGTCTGCCGACAAAAACAATGACACCCATCCTCACACCCCATGCCCTCGCTTTCAAATCCACTTTCCCATCCATCTGTCCCCATCCTGGGCACCTGCAGCTTCAGTCTCATTTGCATTTGAGCTCTCCCAAGATAAACCTGGGATTGAGCTGAACCAGAAACTCCTTCCACAAATGGTTAAAGTTCTTCTCAACCATTCAAACCATTCTCCACAGTCTCCTCAAACCCTTCCACTACAAGGAATGTTCCTTTAATGAACTTAATTGAGTACCTACTACATGCCAGGCACAGACTCATCTATGTGGTCTCATGGCATCTAGCATCTCTGAATTTAGAGCCTCCAGACCTGGGAGGTGGTTCACTCAATAGCTTCTGCTCCCCTATTGGGTTCTGAACTTATGCAGACTGGGTTCCTTGTCCTGTTGCCTTCGTATATACAGCAGGTGCTCAGTACATAAGTCCTACTGTCTTTGTGTACACAACATGAGCTCAGTATGAGTCTCACTTGAAAAGACTATTTTTCCTTCATCCTTGATGCAGCTTCATCCCCTTCCACAGCTGTGGCTGCCTCTCTCCAGCTTTGGGTCCTCCTCTGAGCTTACCCGCACTTCAGTGAGCATTTTCCAATTTGTACCTTCATGTGTGGTACAAATGTTTGTCACATGCCTATTGAGTGCCAGAGGACAGTGACTTGGGGCAAGGAGAAACTTTGTACAATGCCCCTGTCACATTTCCCCCCAGTTGTTCTCACTTTGTGGGAAAAGAGAAAGAAAGCAGCATCTGTGGAGAGCAAACAAGGGGAGAAAGAGGGAAGTGAGATAATTAATATAATAGCACCAGTTCCAAATGTCAGAGCCAGAAGGACCTCTCCCTCAGGTCAGGCCCTGGTCCTGGCTCTTTATGCTCACTGGCTTTTCCAGAAAAGCTCTTGTCTACACCTGACCCTTGCAATTCTGCATGCAAAGATTGTTTAGGACCCAGCTGTACTTTGTAAGGAAACCAAGGTGCTGGCTATTTGTTTGCTTCCCTGCTCTGCCTGGTTCCTGGAAGGCTGAACTCTGGGGATTGCATGGCCTGAACATCTGGGTCCTCCACTTCACATTAGATCCAACCAAAAGACACTGGCAAACACTGGGGAGGTAGGGGTGCAAAGAGAGTAAAGAGTATCTGCTGTCCCCTGTCATTTCTCCTAACCTCATCATGGTTCTGGCAAGGGGCTCCAGCCTGGTGACCTTCTGCAGCTGCCCCTCTCTCCAGCAACTGGAATCTTTGATCCCTTATCCCTTCAAACAGAGAGGGTAATCTCTCCATTAAGAAAATCTTTTTAGAGCCAGGCGCAGTGGCTTGTACCTATGGTCCTACTTACTTGAGAGGCCCAGGAGTTCAAGACCAGCCTGACATCATAGCGACACCCTGTCTCAAAAAAAAAAAAAAGACGAAATAAAACCTTTTTAGAAATCTTTGCTGGGCTGCTGCTTGTCTCCTGTTGTTGCCCTGACTGACAGAGTTGGTGGCCTAACTGATCCCCAACAAAAACCCCTGAATGACTGCTGGTACCGGCAATGAGCAAATGTTCCGTATCTGGCTCTGGTGACTATGGTTTGAATCTCAACCTCAATTTCAAATTGCTTGTTCCCTCTTAGCCTTCATTTCCACATAATGTGGAAATAATAGCAATACCAAATATCTCAATATTCTCATTGTGACAAATAATTGAACGTTCTTCAGACGATCGCAGAAGAAGAACGGGGGTTATCCAAGAGTTTGGGGCTCCCAACAACAATGAGAAACTAGATAAAAGGTTCTCATGGTGTGTTTTTTTGTTGTTGTTGTTGTTTTTGTTTTTTTGTTTTGTTTTGTTTTGTTTGTCCCTTGTGTCTGCCTCCCTCCCTTTGTGCCCTTTCTGCTATACCTCATATAATTGATATGGCTCCCTCCTAGCTTATACATGCTAAATAAATAAATATTTCCCTTTCCACAAAATGAACTCACACTTATATTTTCTGCTGCTATCAACAAAATAGCTGAGAATGGGAAATATATAATGAATGGGTATTTATTTGGCTCATGGTTCTGGAGGCTGGGAAACCCAAGAGACCAGCCCTAGCATCTGGAGATTTGGCAAGGGCCTTTGTATTGCATCATCCCATGGCAGAAGGTGGAAAGGCAAGCAAGCAAGAGGGGGAAGAATTCATTCTTTCTTTTTTTTTCTAATTAGTTACACATGACAGTAGAATGCATTTTGACACATCATATATAAAGGGAATATAACTTCTCATTCTGCAGAATTCATTCTTGTAACAACTCATCCTGAGATAATAACCTCCTCCCATGATAATGCCATTAATCCATTGGTGAAGACAGAGCCCCTATGACCTAATCAGCACTTATAAGGCCCTACCTCCTCACATTGTTGCATTAGAGATTAACTTTCTGAACTTTGGGGGACACAATCAAACAGCATCTCATCATCAGGAACCTATTCCCTGGCCACTATCTTCCTACACCATAGAACAACAGTACCAGGTTTAGCAGCCATCTAGTATTCCACTGGATGTTTTCTTAGTAAGTAAACCT